GGTGGAATATATATATATATATATATATATATATATATATATATATATATATATATATATATATATATATATATATATATATATATATATATATGTAGTGTTTTTTTTAGTTGTTTTCATACGAGTGTATACCAAACCGGGCAAGCAGAAAATTCTACTTGACCGCGGCTGGGATTCGAACCCGCGACCTTCGTACTTCTAGAACGATGCTCTACCGTCTGAGCTACAAGGTGACCTTGTATATACACTCGTATGAAAACAACTAAAAAAAACCCACTACATAACGTTACAAGAGTGAAATCGTAAACCTTATAAGTTTTAGTCTCTAGTCATCAGGTCAATTTATCTGAAGAGTGCCACATCTTGTGCGTGGTACGAAACTATTTAGTAATAAAGATGCCTAGCTCAGTTTTGTTGATTTGTTGTCAATATATATATATATATATATATATATATATATATATATATATATATATATATATATATATATATATATTATAGATATACCTATTCGTCCCTATAATCTGAAATTCAAATACCGACTGGGGACGAGTCCGTATATGGTCATCGTTCAATCACCGTTCATGGCTCTTTACGCTGCTTCAAAACTACGACATGTAGTACGCATGCGTATTCGAGATATGACTTACTTGTCACTTTTATATATATATATATATATATATATATATATATATATATATATATATATATATATATATATATATATATATATATATATATATATATATATAGGCATACTGGTATACTTTTGCCGCCTGTACGAAAGTGTTTCCAGTTTGAAACTACAAAGCATCGCAGCAGGTTTCCTCTCGAACAGTGAAATGTTCAATCTTACTCATGGCTCTCTTTGGAGAACAATCACGTTAGACACAATTTAACTGCACGAAAGGGCTAGATTTAGGCTGAAAATAACTTTTTAGTTTAACAAGTTCTGTTATAAAGAGAGTATCTTATATATTTCTGCAGTGTTTTGAATATTGTGCATAATAACGCAAAGAGTATATAATATCGCACGGGTGTCCCGATTAAAGATTAATTGACACGTATACGAGCCCGCGTCGATTATTAAACACAAAATGTCGACTTGAAAATAATCAATATAAAAATGTACATTTTTTGAGCTCTTATTTTACAACGAACTCCTATTTATGCTTTTATAACAAAGAAAAATAAGAAATAAAGATTATTCACAGTTTTACAGGTATATGAATTGAAAATTAATGTCAGAAAGTGCTTTCAAAATTGACCACATGCAGAGGCGCGGTAGGATACATAAAATACAGTGTTTCTTATCTATATGATTGCTTATCTATATAAAAATGATGTTAATAGGAAATTACAATTGTTCTCGAAATATTAAA